CTCTGTGTGTCTGTGTCACGGCCCTGGCTCTCCTGGAACTCGATTTGTAGACCAGTCTGGCCTCAAACTCACAGAGACTCTGCCTGTCTCTGCCTCCCGAGGGCTGGGACTAAAGGTGTGTGTCACCGTGCTTGGCTGTCTATACTGTCCATTTTTGGCCAGGTGAATTACCGTGGAGCCAGCTCTGATGGCCCTCCACCTTCCACCTCAGCACAGCAGACAGCATGTTTGTTTTCACTACTGTTAGGGTGGTTCTAATGGGAGAGGTCTGGTGTGGAGTGAATCTGGGGTTCACTGTGTACCTAAAATATACTCTGTGGGTGTGTGTACACACGGGGGGTGGGGGGGTGTCATTTAGAGATCCATGGTTTCAGACTGTTAATGAAGCTAAGGTCAGTGTTAGTGTGAGTCAGTGAGAGATGGTCTGACTGGACCTTGACTCAAGGTTTACGCAGGTGTCTTCACCTGGAATAAACAGAAAAATGTCACGAATGGCCTGGCAAGAGTCTGGACCTTCATGGGGCGCCTCCCTCTCACTTCCAGGGATGGAAAAGCATTTTAGAGACCCCCATCCTGCAAGGCCACGCTGAACTGGAGTGGCAGGTACTCAGTGACTGGTGGTCAGGAGGTGCCTGGAGTAGTGGGTTAGGGCGGTGCGTGCGTCCGTCCTTAGAAGACGGCAGCTGCTCTCTCCTTTTTTGCTTTGTTAGCGGATTGGATCTAGGTCTTGGATGAGTCTCTACAGGGCCTCCTCTGGGCAGGGCCACAAGTCCTTCCAGGAGCGGTGTGCGCGTGCGCGTGCGCGTGCGCGTGCGCGTGCGCGTGCGCGTGCGCGTGCGCGTGTGTGTGTGTGTGCGCGCGTGCTTGCGCCAAGAGCCTGGTACACAAGGCCTGAAAGTACCTGAAGGAGCCCTGTAGTTTCCTCGACTGGGAACCTCCTTGGTCCCTGGTTCCCTGGGTGGGGAGGGGACAGGGCAGGGAGCTTCCCTGGGGAACCCTCCTCCTGCACAGGCCCTGTTGTTCAGCGAAAGCCAGCTCTCAAGAGTGCAGAGGATGCCCTGCCTTCTGCATCCAAGGTCGATTCTCAGCCGGTGGACCAAGGTGTGCGAGGTCAGCCTGCACTCCCACTGACCCTGGGGGTAAGCAGGAGAGTCACAGTTGCTTACCTTCATGAGCAGGGCTGAGAAATCTCTGGGAAAAGTGAAATTCCAGAACAGTGACTGGAGGTTTGCCTTCAGACTTGTGGCGGAGGGGACTGACTCTTGCTTTTATTCCTGATAAGAATCATCTGGGATGCTTGTTAAGTACACAGACGACTGAGGCCAGGAGCCTGTTGTCTTAACAATCATTCCAGGCCGTTTCTGTCTGCAGACAGGTTTGGGAAGCAGTCTGTCTGCTGTTCCAAAAATAGCCTGTGGTGGAAGAGTCTGCAGCAAGTTTGGCTTTGCATGTCACACAGTAAGTGAGACACAGGCCCTCCTTGTTCGCAGCTCTGCGCTACCCACAGTCTCGGCACTAGCCCTGTGCTGACTTTCACCAGCTGGTCAGTTCCGGTTCCTCTTTTGTTTCTCATAAGTAGGTATGTTGCATTTAGCATCCCTGTTAGGACCCTTTCTGTTCAGAGCAAGCGACTCATTGAGAGCGCTGTTAGCACCATGGATATTAACTTGCTGGATAATAGTCCACAGTGTGGGATGGGATGGCATGCTCAGCAGTTCCCCTGTTGATGAATGTAGAGACTGTGTGGGGTTCCCCAGTATTACTTACTTCAGTGAGCATCTCGCCCCTGTTCCCTTGTGTACGTCAGGAGTAAACACTGAGATGGGAAATCGCTGCGTCAGACTATGTGCATTTGGAGATTTCCATTAATTCTGCTAAGTTACCTCACAGTGTCCCTAACTACTTCCCACGAGGGGCAGCTAGCTCTCTTACAAGAGCAATGAAAACACTCACCCAGGCATATGGAAGGGTAGCCAAGTGGCAACACCCACCTTCCTCACACTTCCCTTGGGGATGGACAGGAAGACTGCTTCCTATCACACAGCTAATCCCCAGGGAAAACACAGCAAGCCTTGCTGGCTGGAAGGGACTGAGTTCCACCCACAGCATGTGGGCTACAGAGTAACCTCTAGAGCCAGCTCTCAACCTATAGGCAGCCAGAAAGCCACAGAGGATGAGTTTTGGGGTATAGTGGAATCTAAATCCCAGGGTGGGAGTCAGGCTTCCTGGGTTGGCCTAGAGGGCCTGCTGCTGGGCTGCTCTGTGAATTGACCTGGCCCTGTCTCGGGGCCGCTCGGGAGGTTTAGGGAGCCTGTGAAAATCCTTTAGGGGCTGTGGGCTGAGCTGGGGTCGCCCGGGTTGTTTGAAAAGCTCTCCTCATAGAAGAGAGAGAGCCAAGGAAGAGATGGCCTGGATCCCTGTCCTGGTCCTGATGCTACCTCAGAGCCCCTTAATGCAGGGACCAGTGACCTTGCTTCCCAAAGAAAGCTGCTTGTGCAGTCAGGTGGCCTGCAGAGACGTCATGGCTGGTCCCATGGTTGAACTGTTGGCTAAGATTTAAGGAGTATCCGCTAATGGAGGCATTCTTCAGCAAAGCACCCTAGCAGACCCACATCTGTGGAAAGGCCCTCACTTCATTTGAACGCATGGCAGCCTACGCGCACCCCTCCCGCCGTGAGTCCCAGGTGACCAGGACAGCTCTGCTAAGTTGACATACCACCCTGTCTCTGTCTGTGTTCACAAGGGGCTCTGCCACCTCTCTGGCCCACTTCCTACCACCTGGTTAAACTTTGACTTCCAACTAGGACGTGATTTGCATAAGGTTGGACCGTTGAGGGCCCTGTTTGCCAAGTCTCAGGTTGCTTAAACCTCCCTCCCCTCCCCTCCACCAGCCTCACTTTGAAGTTCAAAAGCAAATTGATTAAATATACGTTTTACGAACTTTCCAATTTGCTTCTTAAACTAACAGAATTCTAAACTTTTTTTTTTTTAAACGGAAGGATTTCCAGCTGTCAGCAGGTATAACTGGAACCACATGTCATCAGAGACCAGGGGGTTTTCCTGGTTTTAGGATTTGTAAATTCCTAGTGAAAGGGAAGTAAGCAGGGCAGGCAGCTGGGGCCTCTGGCAGCTTGAGCTCAGCTCTCGCTTTAATTAGAAAGTATCGATAGGGCCTGCTTTATCACAGGCCTCGCAGCGCTCCCATCCCAAGGCGAACAAAGATTGGGCTTATATCCTGCCAGTCTCGGTGTTTGCAGATTACAGAGCACTTCCGGAAGGGGCTGGGGTGCTGATTGCTGAGCTACTTGGAGACTATATAGCCAGGCGAGGCACCACCTTACCACTTACGGTCCCCAGCAAAAACCAAATAATTTTCCCCCTGGAGGAAACAGTTCCTCCCCTCCTCACTGCAGAGCAGAGGAGGATTTTCAAATGGCAGAGACAGTGAAGGAGTGTGGCCTGGGCCAGCGGAGTTCGGTGTCACCTGCGGCTGTCTCCATTGGGATGTCTGGTTCCTTGAGCTCAAAACCCTGCCCACCAGACCCACGTCTGAACTGTTCTGGCTGACAGTGCTTCACATACAAATGTATTCTGCAAATGGTGGGTTCCAATAGCAAACGAAAGCAAAGGCAAGCCTCCTCTCCCCAGCCCCATTTCCTGGCCTGGTGTCTCCTGAAAGGCAGGGATTACCACGGCGGCATCTGGAGGAGCCCCTGGGACTACTAGAGTCGGACCTGGTTTGTCTGCCGGGTTTCTCCGTGTTCTGGGCCTGGGTCTTCTCTGATGGGTGTGGTCCAGTTTAGTGACGGGGCCTGCTGTCCCTCTGCGGCCTTCACATTTTAGGTGGCTGGCAGTCACTTGTGCCTCTGGCTCGGCTGCCACAGGCAGACCTTCACCCAGCAGATGCGGGTCTTTCTTTCCCTTTCCTAGGTTTACAGGCCTTTGCAGATGCCTTACATTCCTGGAGCTCAGAGAGAAGAGCGGCTCCCGTGGTTTCTAATTAAACCCACAATTTAAATAACAATTCATCAAGGGGGGATGCTAGCCTCCTCCCTCCCTGGGGTAGCAGCTGGGAGATTGAGGACTTATTTGCCCATTGCTAGATACCTGACCTGGAGGGGGAGGGGGGAGGGCTCTCAGTTTGGGGTGAGGCTGATGTGTAATAAAGTGTGGGTCGAGAGGGCTGTTGTCCTTCTGGTTAGGACTCGGGGAGTCAGAAAGGAGCAGAGGAGCTGTGTTTTGAAGCCTTCAGTTGGATATTGTCACCCTTCACCAGGGAAATGTGGAACTTCCGCTCCAGGGCGGGAGAATTCTAGATACTCGAATTCTCCAGAGTCCTTGCCCAGCCCGAGACCTGCCCCAGTGACTCATTCTCCTGTTGTTAGTCAAAGGGCTGGCGGGCCTGGCCTGCTGCCAGGCGAGGGCACTAGGATTTGTCTGAGTGAAGACCTGGGCACGCTCCTGCCCACCCTCTACCTCAGTGGCCCATCGGTAAAGCAGGGTCTTCTGGCCTCTGGCCCCTGAGCCATTTGTTTTTACTCTGGTATTTGTATATCGCTGAGTTTAGTGTTTTCGTTTGGCTTGTCTAGTGCCACACTCATCTTTTATAGTGTGTTGATCTCACCAAATTGTTGTGTGATGACCCACAGCATGATCGTGTTCCAGATTTGGAGAAAAGTGGAATGCTGAGTGCAGCTATCCTTGGCTGAGCTCTTGTGCCTCAGCCGGCACCAGGGGCTGCCAGCGTTTCTCAGCTTTCTATGATCTCCCAACTTTCTCTGTCTCTGTTGCTGTCCGGTTAAACCTAGTAACACACTCCCAAGACGCCAGGCCCTCATCTCTGTGTTTTGTGTGCACCTGACCTCCACCCAGCTGCCCTTCCATTCCCCCAGGGCGGGCTCATGTTTCTGGCTCCCCTCCCGCTCCATGCTAAGCTAGCCTGGCTGTGAACAGTAGTGAGACAAAGCCAAAGATGGCCTCACGCTCTCTTCCTCCTGCAGGTGACCATCGCTGATGACTACTCAGATCCTTTTGATGCCAAGAATGACCTCAAGAGCAAAACCGGAAAGGGGGAAAGCGCTGGCTACATGGAGCCCTATGAAGCGCAGAGGATCATGACGGGTAAGTGCAGTGTGAGTTGGTTTTCTGTTGCTGTAACAGAATGCCTGAGACGGAGTGATTTACAGAGAGTGTGTCATTTAAAAAGGTGCGCTTTCCTGATTCTAGAGGTAGGTCATTGAAGATGAGGTGGACACACTGTCCAGGGCCTCACACTACATCATCGTATGGCAGAAAGCAGAAGCAGCAAACTGTAGAAGAGACAGGTAAGATCTTGCCTGCTCTCAGAGTGACTAACCCAGCCCTACAAAGTAAGAACCCACCCACTTCCACGAGGTGGCATCAGTCTATTTATGAAGACTCCATCCCCACTATTCAAACACCGTCCATTAAATCCCAACGCTGCTGCGTGGAGCAGCTAGTGAACACCCCACCAGTTCTGGGGGACAGGCAGAGCACATTTAAACCATAACACGCAGGACTTACACAGCCCAACAAGAAGAAACAGCAGCTCTGCTGCACATCTTGCTCCCTTCACTGTGGAAGAGTGCTCCTTCACAGAGAGAGATACCTGAGGGGTGTGAGCTGTTCTATCCCATACTTAAAACATATGCCACATGCACATAATGGAGGCTAGATTGACAGGAACTGATGGTTTAACCACGTGAGTCCCGGGAATTGAACTCGGGTCATTCGGCTTGGCGGCAGGTGCCTTCGCCTCCTGAGTCGCTTCACTCACCCCTCCCCCACATCTTACTGGCTTCTGTTTCATCAACATCAGAAAAAGACTTTCAGATTAGAACACAGTTAACCAGAGAGACCAAGGGGTATAGGAGAGTTTGCTCAGAAATCGGGGAGTGCAGAGAGGTGGGCATAAAACCTTCCTTGGAGATAACTCCCAGCCAGGGCAAAAGTCAAGCAGGCCAGTTCATGAGAAATAGGACAATCTGAAACTACCTTGTGATCACAGCAAATGATTCTGTGGCGGCCAGAACAACTGGCCGCCATGCAAAGTACCTAATGTTTGCTGCCCTGTCCTCTTCCTCCCTTGGAGACCATGACTCACTTTACCTACATTTTTTTATTTTTTATTTTAGAATACAGACTTATAAGGGGCAATTTCTGGTTTGTGAGGATCTTGCCAAGGCTTCTTGTGTCTCTGGAGTCTTTGTGTGTACCATCACCATGGTTATTACTGTGGGCACGACCCAGGGTAAGCTATCAGAGTATAAATGCTCCAGGAAGGGATTCAGATTGACAACAGACTCAAAGCTTGCTTGGCGGGGAGAATCAGGAGAGGTTAGTGCTGGAGGTGGCCACGGAATGGGTGGCAGCGGTTGTGTCTCTAGACCAGACTGGCATTGAACTGTGCAGCCAAGCATGACCTTGAACTTCTAACCCTCCTCTTCTGGGTGCTAGGATGACAAGAATGAGCCACCACGCTGAGTTACACGGTGCTGGGAATCAGATCTTGGGCTAGGGGAGCTCTCCACCCACCTAGCCACATTTCTGCCCATCAATTTTAACTTTTGAAAGTGACCCTTTTAGGGATACCATTGGAATTTCTGTGCTGTATGTACAGGACCTAGTACTAGAAGGGCCCCAGGCTCAGGGCAAGCACATCTGGAATGAACACATGCCACCCAAACCTCTGGAATTCAGTTTTTCCTGTGTAGTAAGAACTTTAATTGCAATGTGCGAGGCTGCTCTGGGCTGCTCACTAGTGGGAACTGAGGCGGCACATTCTGTGCCCCTGGATTTCCCTGTGTCTGTAACAGTGACGATGACCGTGGAAGTTGACAAATTCTCTAGTCCTCGTTTGCAGTGGTTGATGTGGGAAGCAGGTGGAGGGCCTGTTTTCACCAGTGGAGAGCAGCAGTTCTTGGTTGTGAGGCAGCTTCCTGTGTCAGGACCATCCAGCCCCTTCTCTGCAAGGCTGGGTGCTGTGGTTTGCTTTTCAGTTTCTAGGCAGCATGGCCAGCTTCCCTGGGCCTCGCTGATGGCCTTTGCCCCTCTGCAGCCCTAGCTCCAGGTGGTTGGTGATGGGGAGCTTTTGTGAACAACAGCTGGTTCCAGCCCTGTGGAGGAGTGAGCACTGTGGCCTCCTCTGACTGCCTCAGCTCACTGTCTCCACAGGTTCTACTGTGTGACCTGTAAGAACCAAGGTCTGGACCGACACAGGTCAGGGGTCAGCATTTGCCTTGCTGAGTGAAGCCCTAGCTTGGTTCATTCCCCAGTGCCACAAGACAGAAGAGCCAGCTGGAGAGCCAGAGGCCTCCAGCCATTCCCTTTGGGGAACTGGGAAATTGAGACTAGAAAGAACAAAACAAGTTAATCCTTCTGAGATTTATTTTAGCCCCCTGATGAAATGTGAACTCCTTTATGAATCAGTCACCAGTCTGTCCTCAGTGGTATCAAAGCGAAGAACATTGGGAGACAGTGTGAAGGGTTGTTAAATTTCAGATGGGTGATTGGCTCCCAGTGACCTCTGAGGTCCATGTTCACCCTGAAGCCTTAGGATGCCATGAGTCATTGTGACTGCCTTTCACACACACAGATTGTCCTATCTTTCAGAACTGGCCCCGTGAAGGGAACAGGTGAGGACAGGTCTTCCTTGACTCAACTCTCAGATTCTGACCTTGGTTCCTTCTCGGCCCTGCTTCCTGTCTGGGCCTCTGTTTCTTTGTGTGTAATTAGAAAGAAAGATGAGAATATTCCTCAGTTTCCTTCCTGCTCACACACGTTTGATGTCCTTAGACCAAATCTCCTGTTGGGCCAGTGCTCAGACTGCTTCAGAGCCAAGGATTTTGTTACTTTGTTTTTTGCCGCCCTACGGGGAGTCGAACCTAGGACCTGATACCATTGTAGACTAACACTCCAACACTGAGCAGCTGTATCCAAGTCCTCTTCTTACATTTTATTTTGTGGTGGTCGTGGTAAATTGCTAGGCTGGCTTTGAACTCGCCCTGTAGCTCAGGTAGGTTTCAGCTTCCGTAGTAGCTAGGATTACAGGCCTGTGCCACCAGGCCCAGCTACAGCCCAGTCTTTCCTTTTCCCCAAATCTCTGTCCCAGGCTGCAAGCCCCTGACTCCCAGCTGTTTATAACTCCAGCTCTAGGGGACCTGATAGCCTCTTCTGGTCTCTGTGGATATATGCATTCAGCTCTTCTGGTCTCTGTGGATACATGCATTCACATGCATTATGCCCCTCCCCATAAATACCCAATTAAAAGTAATAAAAACAATATTAAAAAATAAGAATGCAAGAGGGCTCGGACTGTAGCTCAGTGTAGATCAGTTATGGGGAACTACTTGAGCACAGCCCTGATGGGGACCTTTTGGCTGGAGAGGGGCTTCGGATGAGATGATGTGAGTGGCAGTCCGTCATTAGCCTTGCAGAGGACTTCCCTGTGCACTCCAAGGCTTCTCTCACTTAGCCCTTGTGGAGCCTGTGAGGTACAAGCACTCTCCTGCCCGTTGACAGAGCACATTGAGGCTTGGGCCAGTGAAGGAAGCAGCAGCATCAGGATCCAGCCCCAGAGTCCTCACGTGCTTGCTAACCGCACTTAACTCCGAACCCTGCTCATAGCTCTTCCCAGAGTCTGTGGAAGTGAGAGAAGGTCACTGTGGCCTGGACCCCGTCTTGGTATATCTAACCCTTGCCTTCAGCATCCTTTACAGAAGCACTCAGTGTCAGCTCATAAGATGAGTCACTTCTTCAGTATTAATCGAAAGCATTTTCACTTGCTTTTTAGTATGTAATTATACATTAAAAACTCCTTAGCCGTCGTTATTACTAAATCAGCTTTACGGCATAATAGACTAACAGAGGTCCTTCCGCACAGCCCCGCCGCTGTGCGTGACTTCCATGTTCTTACTTGCCTCCTTCCCTTTCTTTTTTTCCCCCGGAGCTGAGGACCGAACCCAGGGCCTTGTGCTTGCTAGGCAAGCACTCTACCACTGAGCTAAATCCCCAACCCTGTCGTCTCCTTCCCTTTCACACTCTGTATGTGGTAGTTGTGCTGTGGGGAGGCCAGAAGAGATGTGCTTCTTGTTGCCTCCTCTTCTCGTGTGGCCTCCTGGTGGCAGTGTGCTTTCCAGAACCAGCAGCAGGTGTTGTGTTGAGAACAGTATTGTTGGTGAGAGCAGGCCGCGTGTGCAATGAGGCCTTAGTCTGGGCTCTATCCTTGGTTTGCTGTCATACGGCCCCTCTGAGCTTTGTTCCCTCATCTGTAAAGCCGGATTCTGCTTTTTATCACCAGGTGTCAAAAGATCCAAATAAGGTAACAGATCTGGGCTGCCTGTAAACCTATAGGGTACTGCTTCTGGAGTCATCTCTAGGGCCTGCTAGACCCCCTGATAGTTCTGAATCTCCTGGCCTTCCCTATGAAATACCCCCAAGTCTCTAGCGGGTGGTAAGTGCTGTCCTCTGCTCCCTCTGGCCCTGCTGTTCTGTTCTCTGTTTCTGGTCTAGAGTCCAGCAGATATCTCTCAGAGAAGGGCCCTGGGCCTTGCCTGAGATTCCCATCTCTGTTTTCGCTATCATCTCTGCTGTTTTGGACAGCTGGTCTTGCTTCTGGAGAGTGCAGCGCCTTCCGGTGTGGAGGACAGGCCTCTCCTCCCCCTTCCCCAAGCTGCACAATGCTGTGGACTCTGTTCCCAGCATGTCCCCCTCGTCCTCGCCCATTCTACCCTATACAACTCTACTTTCCAAAATGTCCCTGCACCTGCTTGTATCCCTGCTTCCCAGCTGCCCCCAGGTGGGTTCACGCTTTAACCTGCCCTGGTGGTCACAATGCTCCCTCAATAGGGACAAGATGAAGAGCAGGCCTTTGGCCTAACATTCTTTCTGCCTGAGACCCAGACAGGCATCCACTGGCCAGGGCCAGACTACAGCAGGCCTCAGCGCAGAGCTTGGTCTCTGGACTTGCCACGCAGGGCTCCTGGGCCTTGTTTTGAAATGTTTGGAAACCTGTCCTGGCCTCCTTCCATCTGGCAGGCAAGAGGGTTCGTCAGGGATGGTGCAGTTCCCTGGTTGGTCCGTCATTTACTGGAATAGCTTAC